AACCAAAAAAAAAAAAAAAAAAACAAAAAAAAAAAAAAACAAAAAAGAAAAGAAACATGAGTTAAATGTATGATAGCGTGGTTTGGTGGCCGATCACACATATGAAATAAATATGTGCAGTTGATGCGCCTTAAATGCCTGATGCCCAACACATTTACCACTAACAATCGACTCTCCAGCATTAATGAATGAAATAAGGGACGCCACTTTTCCAAAATACGCAAAATTGATCGAAAAATATGTCAACTGAAATTCATCTTTCCAGATCGATATTTTCACACAATGTGACCGAAAATTTTGTGACAGAAAATGTGAATGTCAGTTGTTTCTTATCTTTGGTGCCACGAGTTGACCAAATTTAGAAAAGGACGGTTAAAATGAATGGTGTTTATATGGCTTCATATTTATAGTTTGCATAGAAGTAGATGGCTTAAGTATTATATGTTGCGTGTAAATGTTCGTCATGGTTTTACAATTGAATTGAAAAATAAAAAGGTGAAGTTAATGTAAAGTTAATCCTTAAATAATGTTTGTGCGAAATTGTACACATTATATATAAGGTTATATAGTCTTCATTTACCGAAAACTTTCACTTCAAATGTTTGCACTACAAGAATGTGCGATGAAATTCCCATAGAAAATTCCAACAGAAATATATTCCAATGAAATTTCAGCGGAAACTCCAATGAATATTCCAATGTTATTATTTTCGTTGGAATTTTCTAACGGATTCCAACGGAAATTCCAACAAAAATATTCCATTGGAATGAGTTTTTTCCATTAGAATTTTCGATGGATTTTGACGATTCCAACGGTACATTTTCCAACGGTTGAAATATGAGTGAAAATAAAAATTCCAACAGAAATTGTATATTCCAACAAAAATTTCTACGGTAAAAAACTGTTGGAATAATGGTCGTTGGAACGATAAAATTCCCTCTAAATTTCAATGGAAAATTTATTACAACGGAATAATTCCGTTGGAATCATTTTAACAGAAGTTATACCATTGAAATATCCGTTGGAATTTCCATTGAAATATATTGTAGAATTTTCCGTTGGAATATGATTTTTTCAGTGTTGGTTTTGGAACTTGAAATCACATCTTACAATACTTTTGTTAGTAAGTTTGTTGTTAATCTATATATATAATAGCTGGCCCAGCAATAAATAAAACCTAATTAATAAAACCTTCATAATTTTCTTGCTCATTTTTTCAATTAATGTAGAAACGTTACATTTTACATTAACAAAGTTTAATAACAATTTTTAAATAATTTATTATATAATATTACTACGACACTAACTGATTATAATTTTATATTAAATAGTATGTGGAAGTTAAATACTTATAAAAAATTGTATTGCAATTTTTTTTTCTTTAAAATACTTTTTCTAAAATTAAATAATTTTTCTTTTTAAACGATTTTTATCTAATATTAGTCGATTGGCATAAGTGTCATAATTAAACTCCTTAAAATCACATAAACAATTGCTATAACAACAATAAAAATAATTGTAATACTTTTCTAACTAATTAATGGTATGGTCCTTCTAAATTACTAAATTATATTGTCCATTATAATTTATGACATCAATATATATAAAGATTCATACGTAAGTTAAATAATTTATATTTACATTACACATTTGCATATAATCAAAATTTAAAATGTAATACATTCATTATCTAATATAAAATTTTATATATTGTATACATACATATAATATATAAATTTTTGTTTTTCTTTGTGCATGTGTACAGGATGAACACTAGTCAAATCTAATTATCTAGCAATTATATATTTGTAACATATATATATACTTTCAAATTAAATTGTCATCCTTAAAAAAATATAAATAAAAATATTATATTTTATAGTATATATGCATTGCACCATAGAAGATTTTGTATTTTTGTTTTTCTTACTGCAACACTTATCTACATATATAAAATTGGGCTGTTGTCTATTTTATTGTCAGAAAGAAGTTTGGTTCTTCCCATAGCTGTATGCCACAGAATTTATTAATCCCTCCATTTATGCAAATCTATTTACAGTAAATGTAATTCCACTACGAATGTGCCGAGTTCCCAATTTATTGCATAAAAGTTCATGATATCATCATTTTGGAAATTGTGGCAGTCTTTAATATTTCAAAATTTGAAATAACAATAATGGTTTTTCGGTTGATATTTTTTTGCAAATAATTTATTTTTGGGGTGAGCAAATTCCAAAATTCATAGTTCCTTGCAATGCGGGTTAAGATGAGCAGCATTTAATGTTTGAGCATTAATGTTCAAGAAGATAGGGGTGGACCTACCTACCCTACAACCAAAAGAAACGTTTGAGCTGAAGGTAATGTTGCTGTCAATATTTATTATGGCTGGACATTTATATTAGTAACATTTTTTTTTTATTTTTTTATTTTTTTATTGTTTTCCTTAGCCAAAATTTACACACTCAACTTGTTATGCTACACTTGTGTATGCAAAAAAAAAAAAATGAAAAATTGTTATGCTACATAGATTATATAGTCTTCACTTAAGTCTACTCTTGCAATAGTGATTCCACCTTCCTCAAGCTCCGAGAGTTTGAAATTCTACAATCTGGCAGTCAAATCGTGCTCCATAATGAGAATCCCCAAAAACAAGAACGAGCCCAGAGAGAACCAAGCCCTAGTTGCACAACGGAGGTTAAAAACTTAGATCGTGAATGGAGAACAGATCACACAAAACACCCGAGTTAACAACAAGAAAGGAATAATGCTAATCTTAAAACCAAACCTCAAAATAAAAACTACTAAACCTTAGATCCCCTATCGACATGGCCAAGATGACCAGACCGAACAAAAAATGCCAATAGAAGGAAAATATATTATCAAATGACATATGGTTAAGGAACACTACAAAATAATTGTTATCTTCCAAAGTAAAATCTTACGATAATATATTCCAATGTAATATTGGATATTCTAATAGTAAAACTTTCATTGGAATGTTCTAACGAAAATATTCTGGTGGAATGAATTTTTCATTGAAATTTTAGATGAAATTTGATGATTTCAACGACTATTTTTCCAACTGTTTTTTAGCGTAGGAATTTCTGTTAGAATATGCAATTTATGTTAAAATTTTTATTTCCATTACCGTTGAAAAATCTAACGTTAGAATCGTTAAAATATAACGGAAATAATAGCATTGGAATATCCATTAGAATTGCCGTTGAAATTCCATAGGGATATAATTTTATTGAAATTTTCCGTTAGAATTTCATCATTTTCTTGTAGTGGAATAATCGAGCATACTGGCCAACATAACAGGAGAAAGATCCCACCGAATAAACCTACACTCTATAGAGAGAGAAAACTCCAAGATAGAAGACATTTACTTAATCAAACTGTGTTTGCAAAAGTTCATACAATTATGCATTAACAATAGTAATAAAAGTCGCCGAAGTCTACCCATTATGTTTGAACTGAATGGGAATTAGTGTAAACTCTACCTCAATGTCCACAAAATGCACCGAAATCAATCGGAAAATGATTGCACCAACATATTTAACAAATTAAATTCCCTTAAAAATCAAATTTGTCATGAAATTAAATAAGATCATTCTTCCCTCTCAATTAATTTCATTATTTCTCCTCCAAGAGTCAAAAAAGTCGCAGGACTTTCACGAAAGAGTCAAGTGTAACGGACGAACCTCTTATCAATAAACTCAACTACCTAAAAAACAGCGTTGAATGCTTGTTCAGGATCGCGTGACTCTCTATGACCCCGCTGCATTTACTCTATTTGTTCTGCTCTGCCATTTGTATGGTGGGTAGATGGAATTAAATGGACAGTTTCATAAAAAATTCAAAAATTAAAATAAAAATAAAAAAACAAGAATTAAATGGGCAGATTCCAATTATTTTTCTCTCCCAATTGTTGTTATCTCAGTCTTCTTAAAACACACAACACAAGCAAAAATAACAACATTATCTGCAAATATCGGGAAGAGAGAAATAAGAAGAAGAAGATTATTACCAGCAGATGAAGCAGAAAAACGGTGATAAGAGAGGAAAAAGTGAAGGTGGTGAGAGAAAGCGATAGCCCCAGAAATCAATATGACAAGAAAGATTCAATCTTTATTTTAAAGATTCAATTCTTATGCATCCATTTAAGTCGTTTTGAGAGTAGAGAGCTTAGCTGTTTTTTAGATGACGAAATCCATGGCGGCCTCTTCTTGTTCCTCCTCCTCCTCCTCCACCGCCAAGACCTCTCTCTCTCCTCACCACCCTCCCCATTTTACTCCGGTAAGGACACGCACACACCCATTCCGTGTTTTCGTGTTCTGTGATTTATTATCCTCAAAATGAAGGAAAAATTAAGATAAAAAAGTTGATATATTTCTGGTGCTTTTGTTTTTCAAATCGTGTTTTTCAGATCGAAGAAGGGAACGAAGACGAGGAATTTTCGCAGGGCAGGACCAGTTTTCGGGCGACGACTCCGGCGAGCGATAACGCCGACCCGAGAGACGGCGGCTACCACCCGACCCCGCTGAACTCCGAGAGCAATGCCACCGCATCGGCCAAATCCTCCGCGTCGACCAAATCATCCACCAAGAAGAGGCTCGAAAACAGCCACGAGGTGTCGTGCAACAAGTGCCGGCCGAGCAACCGGGAGAAAATCTCCGTCGTCCCATTGGAAAACAACGGCAACGGGTCGGGCCAGAGGCTCTCGATCGCCAGCCCGAACGGCCTCTTCAAGTCAATCCTTTCCTCCCTTGCCATGAAAAGAAGCCCGCGGCTGCCGGACGACGCTCGAGACGAGCACTGGAAGATCGTGGTTGCCGAGCTCTCGAACAAACTGGTCCAGGCCACCCGGAAAAGAGACGAGGCCATCCTCGAGTCCTCCAAACTCAAGCACTCCATGGCCGAGCTCGAGAAAAAGCTCAACAAGCTCGAAATCTACTGCCACACCCTGAAATCGGGCCTCGAAGTCTGTAGCAATAATAATAATAATAAGAGTAATAATCAACAGCCGACCCGAAAATCTCCATCCAGGGTCGACTACCGTCTCGTACGAGTCGGTGATCGGGAGAGAGTAGTCGAGCATTTTCTCATTTCTGTATCCGAGTCAAGATCCACGGTTCGGGCCTTGACCCGGGCCCTTTCCCTCCACCTCAGGCAAATGGGCGGGAAAGTTCACGAACGCGTTTCGGCTCTCTTACAGCCTTACGACGTCCGTGTCTCATTTTCAAGAAATCCGAGAGGCTTACTTTTCTACTTGGAGGCCCTGCTCAACCAGGCTTTTTATGAGGATTTCGAGTCGCCCGGGTTTCAAAAGAGCGGCCCGAACCCGATCCTGAACCCGATCGACCGTTGTGAGGCGAATTTCGCCATGTTCACCCGGCTGCAGGGGCTGACGTGGGATGAGGTCCTCAGTAAGGGGACGAGGCACTTTAGCGAGGATTTTAGCCGGTTTTGCGACAGGAAAATGAGCGAGATCGTGGCCATGTTGGGCTGGAACCGGGCCTGGCCCGAACCGCTATTGCAGGCCTTTTTCGGTGCTTCAAAGGCGGTTTGGCTGGTGCACCTGCTGGCGAATTCGGTGCATCCGGGCCTGCCTGTTTTTAGAGTGGACAAAGGGGTCGGGTTTGACCCGGTTTACATGGAGGATATGGGCGGTGAACGGGCGAGGAAGTTGGTGCCTAATGTGGTTCGGATTATGGTCATGCCGGGATTTTATGTGTATGATAATGTGGTCAAGTGCAAGGTGCTTTGTCGGTATTACAATAGCAACCATGGAAGTAATTTTAGCGATTTTTACGACAAGGGCTTCACGCCATCTCCCTCGTAAGAACGTACGCGAGCCCGACTCCCGAAAAAATTAAAAAAATTAAGTGTGTATTTTTCTCAGTTATATATTGTTTTGTTTATTACTAGCAAGTACTCTTGAATTGAGCTATGGACAATTGGAGATGTTTGAAGAGGTGGGGTGTAAAAGTGGAAGTGGTAACTTAGATTTTGTGGTGAATAGGTGAAAAGGGGGCTTGGATTTGGATTCATCTTTGTTGTCCGTTTTGTCTGCCTGGATTGACCCATCAGCTTGGTCAATCTGTTGGGAGTTTTAATATTATGGACTAGTTTTGGGGGGTTGTGAGTTTGGTTGGATTTTTGTATCTTTTGTAAGATTAAGACAAAAATGTTGGCACATGGAATCTTATAACTATGATATAGTTTTTCACCTTTTTATTGATTTGTTTTGGTTCAGTGACCAAATTAATGTATACGGTGGCATGGATGGCATGGCACTCTTTTGGTTGTATTCTAAAGTCAGAAGGCGGTGTGACAGCTCTTGGGACCAGCTTGATTGTTCTTTCCAAACAGGCTAATAATGTGACAGCTCTTGGGACCAGCTTGATTGTTCTTTCCAAACAGGCTAATAATGTAGCACCAAACTCATAAATCATGTATGATTTCCCCAATCTTGAAGATGATGAAGTATGTGTATACATACGTTATCTGTATTCAAGGGGATTTGTGGGAATCAATGATGGTTTGATTGGAATGTGACAATGGGTTAGACCCGGTTTGCATTTGCCCGTTATGGTGCTACTTGAAATTATGAAGTTGGTCGATGGGTCAAGCCGATGGGCAATGGCCTGCCGCAATCTATCAACAATGACTACTACTATTGTAATAGAATCGAATGAGTCGAGCTTAGCATTTTGAGTTTGCGTTACATTATGTTCCAACACTACTTGTTTTTTATAATTTTTATTTTAGCTGACTTATCACCTAATTTTACTATATTTTTATTTATAGCAACTATCTTTTCTATTATAAGTGATAAGTTATCAGCTCGAAATTCAAAGTTATCAGCTTTTTAGTTAGTTTTAATAAAGATAGACCAAGAGAATAAAAGAAGGTCAATATACACCATATTATGTTACTTCTATATCCAGTGACAAACTTGCAATAGTTATCCAAGCTATCAGATAATGAACGAGAGAAAAGGGAAAGGAAAGATTGTATTGAACGATGAGAGAAGGAAAATGAAAATGTACAAAAGTGACGATTAGGGTTTACATAGTCCTATTTATACTAATGCTAAAATGACAATATATGAAAGAGTTGTTACATATCAAATGACAACTTTAACTATACTAAATGGAGTACAATAAATGATGTACACGGTACAACTCCTATTACCCCCCCGCAAGAGGAGCATGTATATTGTGCATGTTCATCTTGGAAATAATGTGATGGAATGTTGGTCCTGGTAGTGCTTTGGTGAGACAGTCTGCCAGTTGCTCTTTTGTACTGATGTGATGAAGTTTGATAAGACCTTGTGTAATCTTCTCTCTAATAAGATGGCAATCCAACTCTATATGCTTGGTTCTTTCATGGAAAACAGGGTTACAAGCCATTGCTAAAGCTGATTTGCTATCTGTAAACAGAGAGACAGGTAAAGTTAAAGATATACCAAGTTCATTGCTCAAGTTTATAATCCATTGGATCTCACAGGAGGCTGTAGCCATAGCCCTGTACTCTGCTTCTGCAGAGGATCTACTGATTGTTGGTTGTTTCTTGGATTTCCATGAAATTAAGGAATTTCCAAGAAACACACAATAGCCAGTAACACTTCTTCTTGTATCAACACAGGAAGCCCAATCACTATCAGAGTAAACATTTAAATTTAAAGAGGAGTTTCTGTGAAAGATAATACCTTGTCCAATAGTGCCTTTGACATACCTCAATACCCTGTGTGCTGCTGCCATGTGTTGCTCAGATGGTGATGACATGAATTGACTAAGAGTTTGAACAGAAAATGCAATATCTGGTCTACTAATGGTAAGGTAAAGCATTCTGCCTACCAATCTCCTATACTCAGATGGATCAGATAGTGGAACAAAATCAGCAGTTTCAGTATTATGGGATAACCTAACAGTAGAGTCCATAGGGGTGGATGCAGGTTTACATGCTAACATGCCAGTGTCAGTTAAAATATCCAAGGCATATTTTCTTTGAGACATGTGAATCCCTGTTTCAGAGTGAGCAAATTCCAATCCAAGGATATATTTTAACTGACCCAAGTCTTTAATAGTGAAGCATTTATCAAGGTGAGATTTTATGGATTCAATACTATGCAAATCATTACCTGTTAGGATGATATCATCTACATAAACCAACAAAATTGTAAATGACCCATTGGCAGACATGTAGAACATGGAGCAATCAGCAATAGATTGAGAGAAACCATAGGATAAAAGGCAAGAAGTTAACTTATGAAACCATTGTCTTGAAGCCTGTTTAAGGCCATAAAGACTTTTATTTAATTTGCAAACTCTAGTATCATTAGCATCACAATAACCTGGGGGTGGAAGCATATAAACTTCTTCAAATAAGTCACCATGCAAGAATGCATTGTTGACATCAAGTTGATGAATGAACCAGTTATTAATGGATGCCAATGCAATGATAAATCTGACTGTGTTTATTTTAGCAACAGGTGAGAAAGTGTCAAAGTAGTCTATACCCTCTTCTTGGGTATAGCCTTTTGCAACTAATCTAGCTTTATACCTTTCAATAGACCCATCAGACTTGTACTTAATTTTATAAACCCATTTGCATCCAATGCAATGTTTATTTGGAGGAAGTTCTGTTAAAGTCCAAGTGTTGGTCTTTTGAAGGGCATTTAGCTCTTTTTGCATAGCTTCCTGCCAAGATGGGTCCTTGGCAGCTTGCTTATAAGTTTTAGGTTCAGATGCAAATGAGATAGAAGCTGTAAAACATCTATGTGATGCAGACAAGTTATCAACAGAAAGATAAGCAGACACAGGATATTTTGATGTCCCAGGGATATTGGAAAGTGTAGAAGTAGTGGCACTAGAAGAGTGTCTGTTTGGTAATGAATGTTGATAAACTTCTAGATAAGCAGGGGCTTTGGTTTGTCTGGTTGATCTTCTTGGTTGTGGAGTACCAGAAGGTTGAGCTGTAGGTATTATTGATGGTGAATAAGGAATAATGTCTGCACTGGTTGAGGCAGGGGTTATATGTTGAGGTGTAGGGGGATTAACAGAAGGTGTAGGTGGGACAAGATTAGGTAATATATCACAGTTTGGCTCAGGTAAAGGAAACAAGGGGAAATCAGGAATTTCTGAAGGGGTAAAGTCATCTGAAACAGGTAAATCTTTAAATGGGAAAATACTTTCATAGAATACAACATCCCTGGATATTAATATTTTCTTGGTATCCAAGTTGTAAAGCTTGTAACCTTTACAACCTAAGGGATAGCCAAGAAGTATGCACTTAGATGCTCTATGATCAAATTTGGTTCTATGAGATGACAAAGTAGATGCATAACATAGACAACCTGGAACTCTTAAATGATCATATGTAGGTTGTTTGTTATAGAGCATTTCAAAAGGAGATTTGTTATTCAAAATACTTGATGGAACTCTGTTTATGATATGCACAGCAGTAAGAATGCAGTCCATCCAGAAAGGTAAAGGCAAATGAGCATGAAACATGAGTGCCCTAGCCACTTGTAAAATATGTTGGTGTTTTCTTTCCACCCTAGCATTTTGTTGAGGTGTTTCAACACAAGATTTTTGATGAATAATGCCATACTGAGAATAAAATTGACTAAGAATAAATTCTGAGCCATTATCAGTCCTGATTGACTTGATTTTCTTGTTAAACTGAGTATGGATCATATTGTAAAAATGTAGTAAACTTTCCTTTGTTTCTGATTTATGTACTAGAGGATAAACCCAAGTTACTCTGGTAAAGTCATCAACAATAGTTAAGAAATATCTTTGAGATGAGTATGATGAGACAGAAAATGGACCCCAAATATCACAGTGTATAAGATCAAATGCATTTTCAGATTTGGACTCACTAATAGGAAATGGTAGTCTTTTCTGTCTAGAAAAATGGCAAACATCACAAGGAACTATAGAGGATTTGTCATTATCACATTGAATAGGTAAAACATGTAGTTTAGAGAAGGACAGATGTCCTAGTCTGTTGTGCCATACACAAGTATCTGTTGTTGATGCACTTACATGTAAAGAAGAGTTTACAACTTCAGTATTATCAGAGGGACAAGTGCCAAGTGAATCAGAAACAGGTGATGGACAAATATATTTCTCAGGGGTTAACAAACTATGGTGAGATGCAGACAATTTGAGAAGATATAATCCATCAATAAGATCAGCAAAACCAATCATTTTGTGGTTTGCAAGGTCCTGTAAAATACAAGATGATGCCAGGAATTTCAATATGCAATTATTTGTTGCAGCAAGTTTAGAGACAGATATAAGATTAAAGTGAAATGAAGGCACATAAAGAGCATCATATAGCACTAAAGTTTCTGATAAATTCACTTGCCCTATTTGTAATGCAGTAGTATGATGACCATTTGGCAAATTAATTTGAGCACATATAGACTTGGCAGGCATAGAATAAAAAGTATTTGAACAAATCATATGATCTGTGGCACCAGTGTCAAGAATCCATGTAGTTTTGTTCAGTTTTAAAGATGCTATGCAAGCCAAGGGTTTAGAGATACCTGTAGCATTAGCCAAAGCAGTTGCAACCACAGGGGTGGATGAAGAAGTGTGCTTCATCTCCTGTGATTTCTTAAAGGCTAAAAATTCACTCAATAAACTGTCAGTCATGGAAGATGCATTCACAGTAACAGCACTGTCAGTTTGACCAACATTCTCAGATATAACAGCATGAGCAGAATGAGAAACATTATTTCTAGGACCTTTAGGACCAATCCAGTTATCAGGATACCCAATCAATTGATAACATCTATCAGAAGAATGACCAGTATAACCACAATGTGAACATTTGAACTTCTTCTTATCCTTTGTGAAATTATTGAAGTTCTGTTTGAAGTTCTTTTGTGGCTGAGAAGGAAAGTTGGTTTTAGCTGCCATTGCAAGGGAATCAATGGTTTTGGAATTGTTGGACAAAGTTCTCTGGCTCTCTTCTTGAAGTAGTAAGGAATACACAGTAGAAAGAGAAGGCAGAGGAGTAGAAAGAAGGAAGTGGCTTCGAAGTGAAGAATAAGAGTCATTTAACCCAATCAAAAATTTCATCACTGAGTCATTCTGTTGAGCAGTGGTCATTGCTTCAAAGATTTTACAAGTACAGGTATTAAAAGCACCACAAACACACTTCACAATCGGGCGATATGTGAGATATTCATCCCAAAGAGACTTGAACGAGTTATAGTACTGAGTTACAGATAAATTGCCCTGGTCAATAGTATTCAAGGATTTTTCAAGCTGAAAAACACGAGGACCACTAGATAGAGCATATCTGGACTTAATCTCATCCCATACATCTTGAGCAACAGAGAAGAAAAGCAAAGATTGACGAATGTCTTTATGAACCGAATTTAAAAGCCAAGACAATACCAGATTATTCGCTCTAACCCAAGCAAGAGATAGGGAAGGATTTTGAGTAGGGTTAGGGGCAGAAACAGTACCATCAACAAACCCTAGTTTGTTTTTAACGCTCAACGCCATAGTAATCGCTCTCGACCAGGAGACGTAGTTGTCGCCATTGAAAGTCTCGACAACAATCAGGGCACCAGGATTGTCTCCGGCGTGTAAGTAGAACGGTGAAGTCGGATCGTCGGAAGGATTGGTAGTGGTAGCCATATCAATCGACAGCAAAGATCAACAACAGCACGAAAAGAATCGCAAGATCTAGAAATGAGAAACAGAATCGCAGCGGAAAAACATAAGAATCTCAGGATCAAAACCTCGCGAAAGATACCATATCAGATAATGAACGAGAGAAAAGGGAAAGGAAAGATTGTATTGAACGATGAGAGAAGGAAAATGAAAATGTACAAAAGTGACGATTAGGGTTTACATAGTCCTATTTATACTAATGCTAAAATGACAATATATGAAAGAGTTGTTACATATCAAATGACAACTTTAACTATACTAAATGGAGTACAATAAATGATGTACATGGTACAACTCCTATTACAAGCAATAATATACAAGGGAACCGCTTTATAATCAGTGATTTTCTTTGTGCAGGTGCAGTATAGAACACCATACTATATATTATATAATAATTTCGCTTGTCTAGTCACAATTTAATTAATTCTCTATACAAATTATGGTGCTACTTTTAGGTGTAGACGTGTGTATAGGAGGGTATTAAAAGAAATCTCTATCTCTATCTCTACTAAATTATAGTTCGGGCTGTGAACAATGAACATAAATTAGAGGCAAAACTTCATGTACGGATAAAAAACAACTACTTCAAAACACATTAAACATGTCAGTCAACTATAAAAACTTTACCTTCCGGCGAGGGCATTTCAAGAACCTTCGGGCTGGGTTTTCAGGGGTCATTGATGTCAACACAACGGCTTCTTCGTCATGTTCACACAGCCTAACCTCAAACGGGGTATAGGCCCTGTTATATCGATTGGTTGAACTCGTGTGAGAAATATTTGACATGTTGCTTGCCTGAAGAGAAGAATAAGATAGTAATAGTCTAGTAATCCAAAATAGCAACAGTCACATTAAAAAAAAAAAAACTTCAACAACAAATATCGAGAATGTTTTGGAGCCTCAACATAACTTGAAACAAATAAAACTTACATACGTAGTTAAATGAGCATGGGCAAACATGTAGGGATTTAATCTAATTAAATAAAGCTATTGACTATATTTCTGTTTCTACAAGCATTAACACAACAAAGTAAATAAATAGATTCCTCCGAGGTTCAATGGCTACAGCCCAAAACATAACTAATTTCACCATTTCCCACAATCACAATCAATCAAACAATTGTACTTGGCCAAAGGGTTTTTATAACAAAGTTCATACAATATGACAAACTCATTGACCAAGCACAGAGAATGTTGTGAAGCCATTGTGTATACACAAATGTTGAACATAGAACTGTTCAATGGTAAGAGTCGAGAATCATATCAATCCTGGATTAAAGGCTACCAACACATACAACCCCTTGAACTTCATACCATCAACACACATAATCTCTAGCAACACATACACAATACGATTTTGTGGTACAAATTATGGTAGGTAAACCCGTACCCAAGACAGAAGACAAAGCTCGGACATTAAAACACACCAACAAAGACCCAACAGTAACAAAAAAATGTCGACTAAAGTGTGGCATATCTTCATAATTAGCATCATACGTGAAACATAGTAACACATTACACAATCAGTAGAATCTCAACATTGTCAGAAATTGAAAATAATTTAACCAACCGCAGGATTGTCAATTGGCGGAGTCGTATCCGTGTTTATGAGGTTCTCGTCGTCGATTTTTGGGTTGGGACTGCTAGGGTTCGAACGATTTCCACTTTAGCAGGGCAAACGAGAACTCAACTTTTGCGAAATAGAAGCAGTATTAGGGGAAAAAAAATTATACTAAATCACCAAAAAGGAAACACACAACTCCGATACCCTCGTTCTCTCCGTCGATTGGAAGGTAAGCTCGAATTTTTCAATTACACGAAAAAGAAAAAAATCGAAAAGCCAGTGTTTACCTATTGGGTGTCGGGAGAATGTCGTCTGCGGCCGAATTCAGGAAGTCCCGGCTTCTCGTCGGGAGCAACGTAGCTCGTATCTCTCGTCGCGCAGGTCTTCACGGCGATTTAGGGCTGAAAGGCGGAGAGGGACGATTTAGGGCGTAGAGGCGGAGAGTGAAGGCAGGTAGAAGATGATTTCGATTTTGGTACAGAAATAAGGGTAACTTAGTATTTTGCTTATTTATCTTGTCAATTAATTCATCAAAGTAAACATGTGATTTAGTTATTCAAATTCCAACCACAAAGTAAACGCGGGACTGATTGGTGAGCTGTAAAGTTGTTGGGATAATTTTGTCGTAAATGACCCCTAAATATAATATTGGTGTATTGTTTATTTAAAATATCTATTCGAACAAATGACGTCCAATAGTTAAGGATGACCTTATCCTTTGTAGTTTCTACAAAGAAAAACCACTGTTCTCTTACTAGATGCAAGTCCACCAATGTATTCATGCTCTCGCGGGCAGCTAAGTCACAGGTAAAATTACTTCTTCCAGATCATATTTTTCTCATGAGTCGATTTTACCCCTGCGGCTTGGTTGATCGAATAAAAATTAAAAATAGAGAATAAAGAGAAAACAAAAATCTGATTTTTTTTTTAAAAAAAAAAAAAGAAAAAACAAAAGAAAAACTGAAAGTTTCTCCAAATTCATCAGCCACAATTTCAAATTCATTCACCATTATGAATTACCAGTTGAAGGTCGCTGCAAAATCTCTTCTGGCAATGGTGAATTAGGTGATAAGTTCAAGGACTGATTGATTTGTTGAGAAGAGCTTGAAGCTTCTCAACGATGGCTATAGTGAAGCTGAAACAGCAAGCCGTAATTGTTGAAAAAAAGGGGTGGTTTTGGGAGGGGCGCGCGGTTGGGAAATTTTTGGATTCATCAGGGGCAAATATGTCAATTAAACGGGGACTGGACCTGGGCGAAATAATTGTTTGCCTTGGAAAAAAACTGTCTCCTTTTTACTTCATTCATTTTTCATTATAGAGATTGTACGGATAGAAGCGCGGCTGTGGAGGTGGTGTCTCTGTTTGTTTTGGTTTGGTAGAGGTCAGTCTTTCTTCTGTTCCATTTTAACAAGCTTTATCTAGTAAAAATCTTGTTTTGTTTTTTGCTTTTGCTGTATTCGTGCTGACAATTCGAAACAATGTACCTTTGGGCACGGTTTGAATTTGAGTTGCGTTTTCTTGGGGCTAATGAAAATGATGAAACTTGACAATGTTGGGGTCGTTGGTATGATGAAGTTGTGTTTGGGTGGTTGTATTGTCGGATTTGAAGTAGCTCGTTAGAGGCTTAGAGCTTGTTTCAGTGAAGCAGATTGAAACTCATAATATTTGACTAGCTGCTGATTGTCTTGTGTATCATCTGTGACTGCCCACATTATGTTTCTGTACATGATTCAAAGGGAAAGAGATTCTGGTTTAATTTTATATGGAAGCACAATTTGCTTGAAAATGTTTACGCTTTTTTGTGGAATTCAAGGGGAAAGAAAGTCGCCAGACCATGATGAGTAATTTATTGAAAGTTCAGTATAGTATCATTGTTAATTGAAGCATCATCCTGTAGGACTTATTGAATCAGGCATAAAGTGGGCACAAATTTTTGAACGATGGTAGCTTTCCCATGTGCATCCGTGCAATCCAGGTACAGGCTCTTGTAACACACAATTCGTCAACTTAAAAACACACTAAGTTGCATTTATTTTGTTATGTGAAAATGCATCCGTGTCTCTATATTCGTCAAACTTGACAAATATTTGTTTCTGGCAGTTACTTGAGATGCCCTTTTACCTGGAAGACAAATGGATTATGTATACCTAAAGGTTCTGTTTCTTCAGTTGCTTTTATGAGAAAGACAGTTGAATGGAAGGAAACAAGAATGGCAAGAAAACCAGAAATAGTGGCTTCTAGTATGTCGCTTTCTCTAAACAGCCCACATGAGGCCAAGGGTGATAAGGAAAATGTTGAGTTTCTCGGGTTAAAGAAGCCGATGGATGCAAGAAGATCTAACCAAATCTTTAGTTTATACAGGTATATATCATTTTATGCCCAACATTTTGTGGTGCACTAAAATGCAGTAACATACCAACATTCATACTTATTTTTAATCTGTTATTCCTTGTTGTGCTGTTTGAATTGAGAAAAAAATTATAATTTTCCTCTTATATTAGCTGTCTGCGTTTTATTTTAATTTGATTATTCTTTTTGAGTATCTCAATGAGGCTTTCTGGATTCATATATACCTTAGTCTTTAGAAAGAAGCTTTTAAATATCACTAAAAGAGGATGCTAATCTCTCTTCTTCTATTTGTTCCCATGAAGCGTCACTCTCTGTGGAGATCATTTGTTGTTTCCTTCTATTTCAGATCAATTGCCTACCTGCTGGTTTATGACTGTCCTAAACTACGTTGTAAATTGATTTTATAATCCTGTTATCTCACTTATCAGTTTATTTTGACTCAACAAAGCAACAACCCTATTTTGACGACTGTAGGAGTACTGGAGTTTATTGCAAGGCAGCCTCCTCTGGAGATATATCCAGCAGTGGTCCTAGTCAAATGAGCCAGTATGAGAAAATTATTGAAACATTGACCACTCTGTTTCCCGTATGGGTATGTGTCCACCATTTTATTGTAACTGGAAGATTAGAATTTTATACTCATTTGTGGCATATCTCTTGGAGGATATTTATTTTTAGGGATAGTCACATTTTAGTTTTTGCCAATTGCAGGTCATTTTAGGTACTGTCATTGGTATTTACAAGCCTGCAATGGTGAGTTTCTACCAGTTCGTGCATCTTAAAAAATATTAATCATTTGAAGTGACTCAAATCTTCAATTTCTTGCAGGTAACTTGGTTAGAAACAGACTTATTCACGGTTGGTTTGGGGTTCCTCATGCTTTCAATGGGATTGACATTGACATTCGAGGACTTCAGAAGATGCTTGCGCAATCCTTGGACTGTAAGTTGTAATTCATCAATAAACCTTTGGGAAATATTGGTCAAAAGGAGTGGGGTCTTATATCGTTTTGAATGGATTAACCTTTTATTTCAGGTGGGTGTAGGATTTTTGGCTCAGTACCTCATCAAGCCAATGTTAGGCTTTTTCATTGCTATGGTATGTCTTTATCTTTTTGGCATATTTATCATGAATCTGTCAAGATTGTTCTTGTTATGAGTTTGGAACTGAAAATAAAAATCGAGTCAAAATTAGTGAACAGCTTTATTATCTTCACACGTGTTAATAAGAAAATCGCTTTCATGTTGTTCTGTAAGTACTAAAGTGGTTTGATCATCCCTCAAATTTTGCCACAGTATGTGACTATGATTTCCTGCACCAAGGATAACTTTCTTTGAAATTTTCTAACAGACACTGAAATTGTCTGCTCCTCTGGCCACTGGGCTTATTTTGGTGTCATGCTGTCCTGGAGGCCAAGCATCAAATGTTGCTACATATATATCCAAGGGCAATGTTGCACTTTCAGTTCTCATGACAACGTAAGCAATAATCTTATTGCAGTGCAGTATTCTGCACACCCCTTTGGGCGTATTGGTTGCTTCTTTAGTTGGAACTTCAGATTCGGCCTGACTAACACAGTTCTCTAGTTCAAGGAATCCATAGTTGACAATAAAGATTTATAGGTCCTCCATAAGTTATAGAGCCCATCTCTAATGTCTATTCTTGCTTTTCAAGGTTCTAATTAGCTATTTGTAGAAAATGAAATCGCCAATGGCAAGTCCATGCGCTTCCCTGAGGCAGAAAAAACTATGGACATTGTTTCTATCATAAGGTCCATTCCCCTACCATTTTCTACTTGCTATAAAGAATTGTTCCATCGTGATTAAGGTTTTTCTTTTAACTAAGCTTGAACATACTAAACTGAAAATGGGATATGGAGCAACCATAGGTCATGCTAATGGACCTTATATATTTATTAATTATCCTTTCTGTTTAATACTGGAGTGATGAAAAATATCAAAGAAAACTGAGGTGCTAGACTACTAGTGCATATATCTTAAAGCATCACAGTAAAATGCAATAATATTCAGGAAATAATGTAATTCTTCAATATACTACGAGATAATGTTACAGAAAAAGGGACCTATGCCATCTGTATCATTGTATGACTATATGCAATATGTTAACATTTATCAGGATAAAGAAGATAATGGTATAAAGGTGAGTTTTACCGGGAGGTCATTTTATATTGCAGTTGTTCCACGATCGGGGCCATTGTGATGACTCCGCTCTTGACAAAGCTTCTAGCTGGTCAACTTGTGCCAGTTGATGCAGCAGTAAGTTCCTATTTTCCTTGATAGTTTTGTATAGAAAGGCTATATGTCCAGTTTATGAAGCAACTTTGTTTTCCTAATATTTTCTAGATTACCACAAAAGCAGGATCATAGTTGATTCTTGATTGACAGCTAGTACGTGGGCTGCTCAAACTTGCTTTTAGGGGTGTCTCTGCTTATACTAGAATCTGAACGGCATTTAATCATATTTTATATTCCTATTACAAAAACTATGGGGATTCTTTGCGTGCCTGCTTAATCATCAATTTTATTGTTCTGACAGGGCTTAGCTATCAGCACATTTCAGGTTGTGTTAGTGCCAACAGTTATTGGGGGTAAGCTGCAAAATCTGGGCTTACTCTATTATATTTCTCTGGACTGATTTTTTTAATTTTTCATTCCCTCAATATCTCTCTATTTAACTCGTCTTTTTCTACTTTCCTTCTGTTCTGCAGTTTTATCAAACGAGTTTTTCCCAAAGTTCACCTCAAAAATAATTACTGTTACACCATTAATTGGAGTTATCCTGACCACTCTTCTCTGTGCCAGTCCAGTAAGTTCACAATTTAATGGGACGCTAAAAGATTTTTTATCATTCTCGATAACAACCTACCATCCTGCTCCATTCTTTTTCTTTTTCCTTGTTTTCTTTCTTTGCTTTGTCCATAAAATACTTTTTGCTTTATCAGATTGGGCAAGTTTCAGAAGTGCTGAAAACTCAGGGTGCACAATTATTACTCCCAGTGGCCTTATTACACGCTGCAGCCTTTTTTCTTGGTTATTGGATATCAAAATTATCGTTTGGCGAATCAACTTCCAGGACCATATCTATTGAATGTGGAATGCAGGTATGTAGCATATCCGCTGTCTATGTAGTCAAAAGTAAATGCATGTTAGTAGTAACTTCCATAAACTTCAAAAATCTATTCCCAAGATGTTACTTATTGGATTGGATGAGGATCTCGAACGACTGCTTTAACTTATAACTTAAACCCTTATCCAACAGTGACTCGCTTGAGCGTCTTTGAGATATCTAAGTTGTAACATTTTGGATTTAGAGGCTGGTTTGTATGATATCTGATTCTTATGACCAGTATAACTGGAAACCATGTAAGTATATTTTAAAAGATAATCGAATCACCAGAAATTATTACAGAATGCAGATGACATGCAGTGTTAATGTTTATGCAAATGCGTTGGCTGGTGTGATTTGTAATTGTTGCTAGCCAGGTCATGTTTTGCAAAGTCGATTTTAGATTTTGAATATTTTTGCAGCTCAAAAGAATGTTTGCTTGGAGTGAAAGTCATCTTCAACTTGTTATTTGCACATAGGAGCTCATCCAGAAGCTTATATCTATATATATTATGATATTACCAGTTAAATGTCCACTAAAGCTCATCTTTATGTCTCTATTCAGAGTTCTGCACTTGGATTTCTGCTAGCCCAGAAGCACTTCACAAATCCACTTGTGGCTGTACCTTCTGCCGTGAGCGTTGTCTGCATGGCGGTATGTCCTTTAGCTGCATACGTGTACACATATACATAGGATAAACTACGAGATTAACTTCAGTTACCTCCCCAAAAGAATAAACCAAACAAACAAGCAAATTTTTTTGCTGAGAGATTTTAAATTACCAATACAAACTCTTTGTTGCAGTATATCCCACGTGATAGGGATTTAGTGGTGAGTTTTCCTTTTTGTAACATACGAATCATGTTTTCTACAGCTGGGTGGAAGTGCCCTAGCAGTGTACTGGAGGAACCAACCGATTCCGATTGATGACAAGGACGACTTCAAGGAATAGAAAAACCGACTTTTTTACTAGCCATAAAATGTTATGGCTTCTGCACATTTAGTTTGGGGTTTGCATTTTTATGGGAACAAAAAACATTTTGTCAGTGGTTATTGAGAGAAGATTAGTTTCAAGTGTAGTAGTTTGGTGGCTTCAATTTTCAGTTTTCCACAAGATTGGCTTATGTTGCTTGCATGGCCAAGTTCCAATTTGATGGTATGTATTTCCAATTCCATTTCTTGTATTCCTCATTTGGCTCCATTTGCTGGGTAGTTGAAACTTTTTTTTTTTTTTTTTTTCTTT